GTCGCAGCGCAAGGCGCAGGCGCCGCCTGCCGGCCGTGAGGCGGGGCGGGGCGCAGGCGCAGGGCGGGCGCTGAGGGCGGGCAGAGGCCTAGGCCTGCGGCAGCGGTGCCTCGGAGTCGGCGCTTTGCTTGGCTTAACGCTTTCAGCTATAAACCCGTGTGTGGTTAGTGTCTGCGTGAAATGGTACAGGCAGCTCGCGCGCAGTTTGCAGAACTTGGCCGTTTCTGAGTGAGGAGAAATGCCTTACCCAGAAGTCACAATGGCTGTGTGCTGTGTTTAGGGTCTCAGCACGCCTCCAGCAAAGATGGTTGGTGTAGTCTGTATAGCTGGCAGCAGTACTTCAAATCAAGTGACTTTAGGGCCTCAGAACTATTACAAGTTTATATTTTTTGCTCTGTTTAATTTTCCACAATGTTTTGCAGAACCCAAGCTTAGTCTAGGCTTCAGAGTTGCTGTCAAAGCTCCCTTCTGTCAAACAACTCTCCCAAGCCTTAAAGCTTCAGGAGCGTGATTGGCCGCTGCCGGGAGCAGTTCTGTGCGGTGTGTGCTTTGACATAAAGCTGTTTATTTCCTCGCAAGGAGAGATTTTTTGTGTATTAGGTGTGATTTGAATGTGTGTCAGCTTCTGGCACTCATTCCTGAAGCACTTAGGGATTTAGGGTTTGCAGAAGTTTCTAACAAATAGTAAAAACCAGTAAAATATATTGAGGAGACAGTTCGTTAAATCAATCCAGAAGTGATAGAGTAGGAAGTTCTTCAAATTGCCAAACTCTGTTTCAACACATAATTTATTTTAATATATAGCAACTCCAAGACCTAGGAAGTATTATCATAGTACACTCAATAATTACCTTGTAATTAATTTGTACCCCAAAAATCCCCCAAACCACCCACATAGCATTTCACAGTTTAGTATGTGGGGGACTGCGGACTCTCTTAGGAGTTTTATCTTGTTCGTTAATATACAGCAAGTAGGCACGCTAAGAGGACCTTGCCCTTTTTTTTTGTCTCCCCAATGAATTTATCTCCCTGTGAAGTCTTGCAAATTGCCATGTGATTTGAGGGCCACAAAGATGATTAAGGACCTTGAACATCTCTCCTACAAGGAGAGGCTGAGGGACTTGGGTCTTTTTAGTCTTGAGAAGAGAAGACTTAGGGGGGATCTAATCAATGCTTAACAAATACTTAAAAGGAGGGTACCCAGAGGACGGGGCTGGTCTTTTTTCAGTGGTGCCCAGAGATAGGACAAGAGGAAATGGGCGCAAACTTGAGCATAAGAAGTTCCACCTAAACGTGAGAAGGAACTTCTTTACTGTGAGAGTGGTAGAGCGCTGGAACAAGGTGTGCAGAGAGGTGGTGGAGTCTCCTTCTTTGGAGACATTCAAAACCCATCTGGGCAAGTTCCTGTGCAACCTGCTGTAGGTAGATCTGCTCTGGCAGGGGGATTGGACAAGATGATGTCTAGAGCTCCCTTCCATGGGATAGAATCCCATTGATTCTATGATTCTATGATTCTATATCTGGACAAGATATCAAATTTATTCTGCATGTTTACATGCATGGAACATAGTAAATCTAGCCAGAGAAAAAATTCCATCTTCTTTTTCATCCCATGCCTGGGATTTAACTTACTGGGTACTGATATTGTTGATGTTACTTGTGGGTGACTCTGCTTTTGCATCACTGCTGTTTGTGGTGCTGTACTTCCTGCTTCTTTGGCCTACTTAAAGTTAATAAATTGAGTCAAGTACTATAATCGGCTGTCATTGAATCTGTAAATCTTTGCATCATATTGGTTTTGGAGAGGGAGATTAGTGTTTTGTGACGTAATATAACAGGATCAACAACTAGTTGAAGGCTAAACCTTCTCAGATTTCTTTTAATTTATGTAAATGTGCTACCAGATTTTGTTTGAGATTAAGTTGGCAAATAATTTATTTTCTTAATGAGAGTTGTTGAACCAATGAGGGCACAGATGGTCTTATTATACCGTCCAGAACTCGTGTTACATTTGACGAGATTTTAAAGAAGTCATGTGTAATACTTTCCTGTGGGTCGCGTCTGCTTATGTTACAGTTGTACAAGGTCAGACCTTATTTTATCTAGCAACTGCGTATTTAATTTTAGAAGTATCACAGGACACATCAGCTTGCAGGGCACCATTCCTGGCTGTTCAAAATGCAGGCCCCAGAGTAACAGTGGCAAGATAATGGGTTGAAAAGGTGAGAATATGTGCAATGCTCGCCAATTAGACTAACAGAGAAATAGTTTAAAACTGCAACGTTTAATAGACTGAGTCCAAATTTAGATTGCTATTAATTATTTTATTGCTATGAATAACCTCTTTGCATGCCTAAGGGCCTTCTATTTATAGAGAGAAAAGCTGGGATTGTCTAGTTTATTTTAAGGATAAGAAATTAGAATAACATTAACACTCACATAACGTTAACTTTATACCTATGTGTTTGAGAGAGTGATGAACGCTTGATACACTTCTTTCCAAGGAAAGATACAACTTCCATGATTAGCAAGTACTTCAGATTTTTTTTTGATGAAAACCCAGTAACTTAAATTAAGAGAGCAAAACTTACTTTTTTTTTTTTTTAAGGAAAACAGCAAAAAATAATAGCTTTATTTTTTCAGGCATAAATGGAAAAAATGTCAGAAAAATATCAGACTATTCCAAATGTTATTTAAGGAAAAGATTCTTTGTAATACCAACACTGAAACTTGTTTAGAGGAAGCATTTGCAATTGTTTGTAGTGATCTAGTGCCTAGGTCTGTAATTAGGAACCTTCCATTCTTGAACAGAAGAAGATTTTGCTGCTGAGCTTTTTAGCCTGTGCGTTGCCACATCACATAATGTAGCAGGGCTGTCTCTCCTGCTGCTCGGTGTACCAGCCATGCTGTTATATTCCACTGTGATCCTAGTGGAACATCCGCGCTTCGGTTGGACCTTGGCACCTCGGCACAGTGTATTACCAGCGGTGATATAGCAAATCAGGCTCTCAAAGCATGTATAGACCCTCACAGCATGTCCTGCACTTGTGCTGTGGTGAGCTGTTTGCCTTATACTTACTCTGCCATGTCACAGTCACCTGCTGCCTTACCGGCTTTCTTATTTTATAATATATTATTAATTTTTGTGGGTTAAGATAATCTGAAAGTAGTACACACAACAATTCTGAAACACTCCTCACCTAAGACATTCCTGGTTAAATCTGGTCAAGCAGAGCTCTGCGTTGCCTGTGGCATAATCAGTTCTGGGGAATACAGGAAAGCAGGAGATAGCTGACCAAATGGGTATGGATATTGTATGACCAGAAAAAAAGGAAACAAGTTTCTATGACAATCTGTAAACTGATTTCTTCCTATAATCTTGAGGAAGATGAAGAAGAAGAATATGGAATATTCTATTCTAGATGAAGAATAGGAATAAGACATGAAGAATGATATTACTGATTATGAGAATTTTGCATTCTTGTTAATAAGAAACCTGTGGCAGCATTTAGGGAAAAAAAAAAAAAAAGGTCAGCTGCTTTGTTTTGTGTAGAAGTTTTCTGAAGTTGCCATATTTTGTAGTACACCTTGGAAGTTTGATGTGGGATACCTGGATACCTTCCTTTCTGCATAAAGCAAACTATATGTAACACACTACACACACCCCCTCACCCACCCACCCCATTTCTTATTAATTTCTTATTGCTGCAACAGACTTGATTGGCTTTCATAAGCTTGTTTTAAACATAAGAGGTTCAGACCATTGTTATCATTGTTTTTTAGAATTACAGAGAAGTTCATATTGTCCATCCTGTCCAACAGGACGTCAGTCAGTCAGTCAGCGTTCTTGGCAATTTCAGAAATCTTTTTTGCATGAGAAGTTCTGCCTAAACTTAAGTATGCCAGAACATCATAGCTTTGAGAACTTCTAAGTATTAATATGATGTGCAGCAGATTTAACATTAGGTAGTACGTGAGTGATTTTGGTATGTGTGTCTGCATTGTGCTGACCAGTTCATCAGTCTAACTTCATGTGTGAAATCTTCTTGTGGACTGTTACGCTGGAGCCTTGGTCAGAGACACAAAAGGCAGGAAAAGAGAACCCTTCAGAAAAGTATTGTCTTTTATGAACAACATAATGTGCTATTCTTCGAAGCTCCAAAAGACAATGTGTTCATGAATACTTTTTTATTATTATTTGTGAAAATTTTTTTGCAGTCAGAGGTGGCAGGCAAGACCAAAGTTGTGTATTTTTTCCTTTAAAGAAAATGGGGCTGAAGTGAAATTTTTTCCACTTTCCTTCAGATTGTCCATCCTTGCAGTTAAAAACCTCGGCCACGGTTCCAGTACATATTGAAAGAGGTGGGAAGCTGCATTATGTGTGAATCTGAATCCAAGAGACCTTTGGCTTCTGAGTCATTGTGACTCTAAGCCATTACTAATTTAATTTGGGTTTGCAAGCTTTATTTTAGTATACTAAGTAGTAAAGTGTTTGTGGATGGGATTATAATATTGGCTGTGGTACTTTGATTGACTTATTATTTACGGGAACAATGCAGAAATTAGTCTAAAAAGAAATCTGGTTAGCACTTTTCCCTTGAAGATAATTTTTATAAAATGGCCTCCAAATAATTTCTACAATGTTCCTTCTCTATTTGCAAAATGACTAGGACACCCCACAATTATCATTCTGCAAGAAACGTACAACAGATGCTTAGTATAATTGTTTAATATTTGTGCAACACTTTTACGATGATAAGTGTTGTGGGTGGTAGATGCAGTACATTACTGTGTAAACTGTGGGAGCAATAGTTTAAAACTTTTTTTAAAATTAATTCAACATCTTGTGTCCCTAGTCTGATTAAATGTGTTAAGCCACTAAGATCGAATCAGAGAAGCTTTGGCAGAACACAAAGGCCACTTGTAAAACCCGGGGTAGGTACAGCTAGGCATATAGTGACTTAAGTTTTTGTTGCTAATATGTTGCTACATTTTACACTTCAAGAACCTACAGGAAGATCTTGTAAAGAGCAACATTCCTGACCTTCCAATGATAGTTATAATTTACTAGCAGGGCGTTCAGTGATGTGATATCACTAGCAAAAAGCATAGGGATCATAAGCCACAGTTAAAGTTGGTGATATGAGCAGACTGAATTTAAGCTGGTGACTATAGTTAAAAGGTTTGACATACTCCGTTACTAATCCACTGAGCCTCCCAGCTACTCTCACACCTTGAAAATAATAACCCATCACCCGGGCTTGTGAACTGAACTCCTGTGAATGTCCATTAAACTTTGTGTCTGCGGAAGTGCAGAGACTCCAAAGACCTTAGCCTGCTTTGACAGACCATTCTTTGGCCTTGCAAAAATAAAGCAAGATTTGCAAGTTTTTGTGGCTTTTATTTTAAAATGTATTAATCATAATTAAAAATTATAATGATACAAACTATTGTAATGTTTTGTTGTACCTGCCCATGAAATCCAAAAATCTTGTACATTATTACATCAACATAAAGTAGGTTTTGCATTTGGTATCATCTCAATTCCCTTATTTTTCATTTGAGAAAACATCCCCATCCAGTTCCAAAAGAGGAGAGGTGAATACAGGTTGAAACTGAAAACGTTTTATGGAATCATAGAATGGTTTGAGTTGCAAGGGGCCTTAAAGGTCGTCTAGTCCAACCTCCCCTGCCATGAGCAGGGACATCTTCAACTAGATCAGGTTGCTCAGAGCCCCGTCCAACCTGACCTTGAATGTTTCCAGGGATGGGGCATCTACCACCTCTCTGGGCAACCTGTGCCAGTGTTTCACCACCCTCATTGTAAAAAGTGAAAATGTCTTCCTTATACCTAATCTAAATCTTCCCTCTTTCCGTTTAAAGCCATTACCCCTTGTCCTATTGCTACAGGCCTTACTAAAAAGTCTATCCCCATCTTTATTATAAGTCCCTGTTTAACTATTGAAAGATAGTAAAGTTCTGAATTCAGAACTGGATGAGGTGTCACCACCTACACTGACACGCCATGGGTTTTCACACGCTGAAATCCTGTGTCCAAACAGCACTGGTTGGTGGATCCATCTTGTGTCTGCTGCCACTGCCACCCAGGGTGAAGGAAGGGGGGGAAAATGTGCTTTCCCCATGCAAAAGAGTCAAGTTAGTTCAGAGCTTCTCTGACAGAATTTGGTGGTTTTGTAAATCCTGAATAAGTACAATGTGTGATCACCGATCATGTGTTTCATTCGGAACTGCAGACCCTCTCTGTAAATAATTCTCCCTTAGAACTGATCATGTGTTTCATTCAGAACTGCAGACCCTCTCTGTAAATAATTCTCTTACTAAAAAGTCTATCCCCATCTTTATTATAAGTCCCTGTTTAACTATTGAAAGATAGTAAAGTTCTGAATTCAGAACTGGATGAGGTGTCACCACCTACACTGACACGCCATAGGTTTTCACACGCTGAAATCCTGTGTCCAAACAGCACTGGTTGGTGGATCCATCTTGTGTCTGCTGCCACTGCCACCCAGGGTGAAGGAAGGGGGGGAAAATGTGCTTTCCCCATGCAAAAGAGTCAAGTTAGTTCAGAGCTTCTCTGACAGAATTTGGTGGTTTTGTAAATCCTGAATAAGTACAATGTGTGATCACTGATCATGTGTTTCATTCGGAACTGCAGACCCTCTCTGTAAATAATTCTCAATTTGGGTATTTTTCTTTTTTGTTCCTATGATTTTTAAGTGTGTATGTGTTTGTGTTCATGTTCATGAGTTCGCTGTGAATGGCTGTGTTTGGTAGGAATTGCTCATGTGGTGATAACTTCATTATTCATGCTTGTGTGGAAATCATATATTCACTGATGTGATGGCCACAGCTTTCTAAAGAAAATAAATTTCTTTTTATGGTTCATAAATTGTCCAGTGTTTGTCTGTAGATGGCAAATGTAGTGTGTGAACAATAAAAAGAGCTTTTCCTAAATGGCATGTCTAGTACTAAATGTTTCCAGGGTTGTTTTTTTCTCTATCACTGCTTTTGAACAGGAACCTTATTGATTTTTAAATAGGAATAAGCTCATCAAAACATTATTAAATTAAAAGAAATTTATGGAAACACCTGATTTTGTTATAAAAAATACATTAAGTGAGAGATGATCCTTAGCAGTATGTTTTTGTGTGTATTTAGAAATAGTTCATCATTCTAGTTCGCTGTAAAAAAAGATGGATGAAAGAGAAGATTTGGTTGAAGATCTGCTCACTGAGTATGCCATACAGCTCAGCATTCAAGAATCAAATGGGGCCAAACCACCAGTGTCTTCCAGCTATAATGACAGGTACTGTCAATTCACTCTGTGTTAGGTATTATGCCATATTTTAACAGTGTTTATATTTAACATTGATACTTAGGGCCTTGAGTCATGCTTAGAACAGTTCTTAGTTTGACTTTTATGCTTCTTTCTCAGTAAAGCACTGTCTGAAGCCATGATTTAAAAGAGTAAACAAAATACAAATGTTGATCTTGCTTTTCTCAAACATTAAGGGCTTATTTCTGTAGCATGGGGCAAATACAGATTTTATTTTTTTTCTTTACCGAATTAGGAGTTTTCTCAGGTCAGCCCGCAGCGGGAATCGCACCTAACTTGGGGTACTCCGAATGTCCACAGAGCAGGTGTAGCTGAGCAGGTCACAAGGCTAATCAAGATTGTAGCTGATGTATTCAAAGGAGAGTTCGCTGAGAAGAGAACCTAAAGGAAAATATTGAATAAATAACATACTGCATCTACTTTTTGTTTTTTTTTTTTTTTTTTTTTTTTTTTTTTTTTTTTTTCTTCTGCTTTTTTTTTTGATAGTTTTGTACCACCTAGTGAGGAGAATAGGAAAATTGTAACATCCATAAAGCAAGGTAAAAACCCTATAAAATAAAATCATCCCTTGGCAAAACTGAGCTTTCCATATATTATTTTTCCAACTGCATCTCCTTTATCTTTCGGATTTTTTAAGGTCATGTATTTGAGCTCCAAGAGCTCGTGAAACAGAAATATGCTTTGGATGAAGCTGATGAAAAAGGGTGGTTTCCGCTGCATGAGGCTGCAGCTCAGCCAATTCAGCAAATACTTGAAATCATTTTAGATGGTAAGTAAGGTAAAAATGTCCCACAAGATAAAGGGAGCAGCAGAGAAACATAGAGCAATAAGCAGCCATCCGCAACAACAGCATAGAACTGTTTACTAAAAAAAGGTATGATCAAATCCTATACAGAGCATGTTGCTTATGTTGTATAAATATTCAGGCAAATTTTCTTTTGGGGTAAATGACATCAATTTACACCAGCAAAGAACTTGGACCATTTTTAACATTTTGTTTAGAAACCTACAGAGCGAGCAAAATTTCCTGTGCAGTATTCAGTGTGTTCAGCAGCCCTAGTTTGGTTAAATTAAATGTAATTTCAAGTAATTTTCATGAAGACTTAGCATTTAAGCATTTCTGGGATATATATATATGTGTTAGCAGACTTGTGCTTTAATTTTATTCTATCTTTTCTCACTTTCTTACCTCTAGCATCTTATAAAGCCATGTGGGAATACAAAACATGCGATGGAGAAACACCATTAACTTTGGCAGCAAAAGCTGGCTTTGTGGAAAACGTACAAACCTTATTGGAAAAGGGTGTTTGGCCCAATACCACAAATGACAAAGGAGAAACTCCACTTCTTATTGGTATTTGCCTTCTCTCTCTGGGTTTAAATAAAGTGAATGGCAGTGCTTCCCCTCCGCTAAGCACTCACCCGAGTGCTTCTGTTGGCTTGTGTGGTTTAGATGCTGGTCAGCTTTGTAGATGAAACTGAATGCCTGGCACTCAGTGAAACATACCCAGGGTTCAGTTCAACACTCGTGATGCTTTAGGTGATCACTGAGCTGCTCTTAAAGTTGCTCCTTACGCTGCAGGTGATAGGATCTATTTTTTTGTTCAAGGCACTTTCTTGGTATCTTCAGGTGCTGTAAGACCTTCAGCAACCTGGCTCTATTTGACCACCTTAAGGTAAAAGTATGGTGCAAGAATAAGCTGTTGCTTTAACTTGAATGTACTTTTTCTGGAGGTCTGGAGGTTATTGGAGCTTTTTAGTTTTATCAGATGGTTTCTTTGGGAGTAGGCAGGTATTTTCAGTTTCAAAATCTCCCATCTCATTTCCTTCCCCTCTTGCACTGAAAATGAACTTTGACTGCATTTCTAAGTAATACCCCAATCTAAAGAAAGAAGATTCCTTTGGAAGGTTTTATGCCAATTATAGACTTAAATGAGTTTTACTATACATGAGCAATTTAGCTGTATCAGCTATTAATTTCTGTTGAATGTCGAAACATCTCCATTCTTCTGAGGAGAATTAAATGAAATGAAATTAATACAAATAAGAAAATAAAATACATAATACAATTGTCAATATTAAAATATTCAGTTTTCTGTTTTTTTTAAACTTTCATAAGATGTGATTACTGTATTAACATTTTAAGGCCCTGAGGCATTTCTAGAGGGTTCCTCTGCAATGTGTTGTTTTGCATTGTTTCAGCAATTTTGAATAGTTGTAAGACACTGAAACTTTTAAGCTATTTTCAGCCTTTGCTTTTAGTGAATCCTGCAAAGAGTAACTAGAACTTAAGAAAAGGGTCCTTTCCCCTTATAATGGCAATTTGATTTCCTAAATATTTCTCTATACAAACTCCTGAAAATGAGGTTTGTCAGCTATGTATTATGTGATGCTTTCTATGTTTTTGTGTCACTTGGCACTGAAAATGTGGGCGTAAATATTGTGCATCATACATTTCAATCTTAGTCTAGTGAAATCAAGGATCAGGTGCTTAACGCTTAATAGATGATGCTCATGATTTAGTTACTCCTTTTAATTTTAAAGCTTTGGGTTAAAGGGCTCTTCAGTTCAAAGGTAAATTCTGAAGAAGTATCTGTCTAGTGGAATGATTTCTGCTTCCAAGTACATTTGGTAATACTCTACTTCAAAGCAATTGTGGATAATTATGGAGACTATCGCCTCTTAAAAACCTTCTTACTTGTATAATGGGACATGAATAAAAGTGAAATTTGCTCACCCTATGATGCTGATCTTCCTCAGGTGCCCCACCAGGCAGTGCAGATATCTGCTATTCCAAAGGGTAGTCCAGAAGTAAAATTAGAATCTTACTCAGGATAACTACTTTCTATGTAAATAATTTGCAGGTGTAGTTATCCATGAATATTTCAAACCCTGAACCTCAAAAGGACGGAACAGGCCTTTAAGTATGACAGATGTCAACTTCACTTTGGCTGACAACAGCCACTGAGCATGCTCTAGGATTAGAGTTACCAGGTGACAAAGTCACAAGTGGAATTCTCCGGGGACACAGTTATGTTTGCACCAACTTAAGAAGTAAGAACCATAATAAATATTATGTTATTTTTATTGTTGCTCTTCATTGTGATACACCTGCTTCTGCTTTCTCAGAATCAAAGTGATGCTGCTTTTGCCCTCCATGCTCCAAACTCACATATTTTCCAGCCTGTGTTGGTTTACCTTGATTTCCTGAGCAGCTGACATTACCATTTATTTGCCAGTAAAATGGATTCCCAGATTTCTAGGACTGGAAATCTTTTTAATTTCCTCATATCAGTGCACAAGGAAAAGCTTTTCTAAACTTACTAGATGTCTTTAACTTTCAAGACAACATACCTGAAAATGTAATTGCATTATTTTCTTCCTTTTTAAAATATCTTCAAGCTATAAGAAGGGGCTCCTTTGAAATGGCATCCACACTGATTAAACACAACTGTAGTATCCACCAGCCGTGCGTTAAACGTTGGTCAGCAATGCATGAAGCTGCAAAGCAGGGACGCAAAGACATCGTTGCTCTTCTTCTGAAGAATGGAGGAAATGTGAACCTTAAGGACGGATATGGGGTAACACCATTGGGTGTTGCTGCTGAATATGGTCACTGTGATGTGCTGGAGCATCTTATTCATAAAGGTATGTAGGCAAGTAAAAGGGAAATACAGTTCTGCACTGGAATGCATCTTGCCTGGTTGTTGAGCTGGTTTCAGGGGATCATGGAAAAGGAAAGAAAGAGTAGTGATGAATGAGAAGATTTGGTTTCTTGGAAGGAAAGAAGGCATCTGTGAGTGTTCCTGCTAGACTGGGGGGATGCTTACACGTTTCCATAATGCCTGTGAGAGGAGTGGCAGAGTTGATACCAACCCATTTCAGTCAAGGAGAGACTTTCTTGCCCTTCTTTATTTCTCTTTACTCCTTTTCCCTCCCTCTCTCCATTTTTTCCCTCTCTCCCTCCCTTGAACAGAATTATATTGGTATTAATTAATGAAATGCAGGATTTTCAAAATATGCAAGAATTTTGAAAATCCTCAGGTATAACATTTACAGTCAAAGTAGACCACGCTCAGGTGAGCATTTGAACTTGTATCTGTACCACTCTTGTTTTGCCTTTGAGTTTTATATTTGCCACAGGAAATCTTTCTTGTTTTAGTAAATTTTTAACTTAAGTACATCTGAAAACGAAGAGGAAAGTTCTCTGGGCTTGTTTTTGTGATGATCTGCGAATTATTTTGGATGTAATTATAAACTCAGTGTCCTCCTTCAAGGTGGAGATGTCCAGGCCTTAGCAGACGATGGTGCATCGATACTGTTTGAAGCAGCTGGAGGAGGAAATCCAGACTGCATAGCCCTTCTTTTGGAGTATGGTGGAAGTGGCAATGTGCCTAACAAGGCAGGACTGCTTCCCATACACAAAGCTGCTTATGAGGGGCATTACCTGTGAGTATGAGCTCAGACTTTACATTTTCTTCAAGATACAATGTGGCACCAGGTCACATTGAAGTCAGCTGTGATAAACTTGCAAATGTATAGATCAGAAGTGTGTATTTCAGAAGTGCCCATGTTACATTAGTTTGAATTAACTTTTAAGTGTTTTTTTGGCATAAACAAAGCAAAATACAAAACATGTTCCTTAGAATTAAGTGAAAACCACTGAAACAGCTTAAACAGAAGGTCCTATTTGACAGTGCTCCAAACTGGTGTTTCTGTGTTTGCATCTTCTTGTGTAAAGTGCCTAGCTGGTAATTTAGCATATGCCTGGATGAGGGTCATTTTCTTCATGCAGGGAAGTGATGCCTAACTGGTTTTATTCACTGTTTTTTAGGGCCCTGAAGTATCTCATTCCAGTCACATCCCAAACTGCAATCCAGAAAAGCGGGTTAAGCCCTGTTCACTCAGCAGCAGAGGGCCAGAACTCGCAGTGTCTAGAGCTCCTCATTGAAAATGGGTTTGATGTCAATACTCTCTTGGCTGAACACATTTCAAATAGTTACGATGACGAAAGGAGAACCGCGCTTTATTTTGCTGTTTCTAACAATGACATTCTTTGCACGGAAATATTGCTCAAAGCAGGGGCAAATCCAAACAAGGATCCTTTAAACTGTCTTCTCGTGGCAGTGAGAGCTGGAAACCATGAAATTGTAAGGCTGCTCCTGTCCTACGGAGCAAACGTCAATTGCTACTTTATGTTGGTCAATGACACCCATTTCCCCAGCGCCATTCAGTACGCTCTGAATGACGAGGTGATGCTGAGGCTGCTGCTCAATCACGGATACAACGTGGAGATGTGTTTTGACTGTATGCATCAAGATATCTTTGGAAATTCTTTTGTGTGGTCAACTCCAGAGGAGGAGATTCTCCCAGGATGGACTTCTTCTGTAATAAAGGATAATCCAGTAAATACATACTTTCCTTCCTTCTCTTCACTTTGCTCTTTTCATTAGCCAGCTTTAAACACTACAGATTATTGTGCAGAGTGAAGATTAAACATACTTGCAAAATCCTTTTTTAAAAAATCCTAAAAATAAAACAACCATTTTTTATTTTCTACTCTGAAATAGATATTTACATAGAGTGGTTTGAGATTGGAATTCATACATTTAGGAAGGAAGTTTTAAGAATCATGAGGCAGGATTCTGGAATATCTGTTCGTGTTGTGACAAATAGAGTGGATGTGTTTCCAAAGAGATATCACTGTTGAACAAAACAGTGCTGCAAATTACAGCAATGTTACAATAATTACTAGCCATCAGGCGTGTCCAGATGAATTAAGGGATCATAAAGGTTAAGCGTGGAAGAAAATGGCTTTTAAAGTAACCTACCTAGCCATCAATTTATGACTGTTAAAGGTCAATGCTAGTACTTTGTTTGAATTATCTTGTGTAATTGCTTTAAAATTTTGGCATTCCTCTGGACAGATTTTTAAATTATGACTTGATGTGTTTTCCCTTGCAGTTCTGTGACTTTATTGCTGTTCCTTGGTTGAAACATTTAGCAGGAAAAGTGGTTCGTATTTTTATAGATTACATGGATTATGTTCCTCTATGCACAAAAATTAAGTTTGTCTTAGAAACACAGAAAGAATGGACAGAGATACGTCAGATATTGGGTAAATATCTACCTTCCAGTTAATGATGTTATGATTTATTATTGGAGACTTAAATTGTGTCGGGTCACATTCATCCAAAGTGTTCTGGCAGTACAGGAGTGTACTAGCTGAGAACCAGGGTGTGCCTGTCATCCTGTCCTCGTATTGAGTCGGGTCTTTACCTATTGCCACTGGTCGTAAAGTAGTTAATCAGTAGTAGTTAATATGGCAAATGTGCACCTGGTGAGAATTAATCTCATGAGGACTGTCACTGTTGTGTAGGAAGCCCTTTGAGTTAAGCAAGACCACTGAGGTACTTCTCAAACTCCTCAACTTCTCAAATACTCCTTATTAGCCCATGTGATTGCACAGCTATGGGGCACAACTTTTTTATTGAGGAATATTACTCACACTTCTGTCCTTCTTTTTGCTCCCTTGATCTCTCAAGTCTATTAATCATTCAAGGATTATCATAAGAGTATGTTTCAGATCCTGTTATGTTCAAGGTGGAAGGTGGTGACAATGAGTGTACCATCACAACCTAACTCTGATTTATATAATATGCATCTAAAGTTACAATTATTAATACCTTGATTTAGTACTATTTCTTATGTATACTTTACTTTTGAAGTTCTACATATTAGCCTGGACCTTCCACCATTGGTGGCACCAGCTATAGGTGTCACCCACCTTAACTAAAAGACAATCTGTTGGGGAACGTATTAAATGTTCTCTTTGCATGAACTAATTTTATTGGAATTTTAAAAAAAATAAATAGAATGTGATTTAACATCAGCTGTGAATGAGCAAAATATTTATGTTTACAACTGATACCCAGTGTATTTAATTTAGCTTTAGTATTTTACACTGAAACACAGAGGAAGTCCTTTTTGTTATTGTCACTGGAGCATCAAAATAATTTGATAGTCGTAACTACTAATATTTCAAGTACCTTGAAAGGTTTCATTATATTCAGGAAGGCTAAATTAAACTGAGCTCTTTATCTAATGTAAATTCTGATAAGAAGTATTTGTTTAGAAAACTCAGCAGGCCCAGGCATGGCAAGGTCTGGTCCCAGTGCCTTTTTGATACAGCAGAAATGGAAGTTGCCTCGGCTGGCCTCAGCATGCAATTATTAAGATGTGCACCTGGGGAAAGAGAGATCGTTCATCAGTCACCATTGATTATGCTAAATAAGGTCCTTGCTTAGGTGTTCAGATGGGTGCTTTGGAGACAGAGTACAGCATGCATATGTCCAAAAGTAAGACAAAAAAAGGCAGATACCTTATGAAGAAGTTTGACAACAACATGTATCATTTCAATTTTGAAGTGAAAAAATAGTATTTTATTCAGAAGTGGCAAAATAATAATGCCCCAAGGTAATAGGTTTTTATATTAATTTTATTAGAGCAAATTAGGGGAATTGTGAAGTGGCTTACAGTCATTAATAATGGCATTGATTTTTCCACCATTTCTCTCTCACTATTATTTTTAGATAATCCTCGCCCATTGAAACATCTGTGTCGTCTGAAAATACGTAAACTCTTGGGGTTAAGGAGACTCCAGAAGCTGTCATCCATGAAGAAGTTTCCACTTCCACCAGTTCTCAAGAACTATATCCTATATAAAGAATATGATCTGTATGGACAAGGGATACATTTAGAGTAGTTTTTAAAAATAAGTGCATACAGTCTGTAATTTGACTCATTTCCTCACTATTTTTTACTAGCTGAAGAGCTGCCTGGTGTTTTATATAAATTCACAACATTCTGATATTTGTGGATAATAGCTCTTTTAAGGGAACAAATTTGTCTTCAAAACTAGTGCATTAAAGCTCATGTTTTCACACATTGTACTATCTAAATATAAAATCAGAATAAGGAAAATACGATAATTATGTAGAACAGTACACGTTAAATGGGAATTCAGATTAATAAAGAACAAAAGAAGAATTTTCCTGATGGACTTGCCAATGAAGATGATAAATACAATTGCTGCTCTCAATTTGTAGTGTTAGTTTATCTGTAAAGGAAAATAAATGTCTAATTTAGCTTGGCAAAGAAAATTAAACCACTAAATGCATGTCTCTGTCATATAATTGGCATGAAATGTAGCACATTTTGTACTTTGAAAATCACGGTCCCATTATAAAATTCTCCAAACACTTCAAAGGTTCTTTTTAGCTATTTTTCCAAAGTGTTTGCTCCCAGGCACGACTGCTGTGTATGCCAGTACTGCGTGTTTTAATGCTTGGCAAAGTCTGAGGGACTTAAAAAAGGCTGTTTTAAAGAAGGAGTAGATTTTGATGGACAAACAAATGAGGAAATGGAGCAGCATATCCCCTTGAGGAATCTTGCAAGGTCGTAACTGTAATTATGTTTCCTACAGAGATTTGACAGACCACTTCTTGACCAGGCTGAACAACACCCTCACTCGTGCTGTGATGCACTTGCCAGTATCCTTCTGCACATCTAGAGGAAAACACGTCTGATTAAATGTTCTTTAAATCACTGTATTTAAAGTGGATTGCACTTAGTGCCTTTGATATTCTGCCATCCCTTCCATCTTGGGGAAAAAAGACAGCGAGAGTCCAAACTCCCAAAATTAGAGAACATTTCAGTTGGTGTATGTCAGGATTACATAGTGCATACTCAGAATTTAGCTAAACGTCATTTCAGAGATACACTGGTTATCACACAACTTATTTACACCTCAGTCAGAGATGTAAATTCTACCTCCAAAGGCAGCTAGGTCAGTCCTTTGTGAGTCTGTCTGTCCTCGCAACAGATTTACAAGAGCAAATGGAAGAAGTGGAAATCACTGGTCTGGGATGTGCAGAGGGTTGAACAAAAGGCTTAATTCCTGCTTCTGCTCTCACTAAGGCTACTATTCATCTGGCTTTCCAAGACATTCACCACATTGGTGGTGAATGGAGTTAAATCCAATCTGCAGCTGGTCATGAGTGGTGTCCCCCAGGGGAAGACCAGCTGGAGAGCTGCCTGTCAGAAAAGGACCTGGGGGTGTTGGTTGACTGTTGGCTGAACGTGAGCCAGCAGTGTGCCCAGGTGGCCAAGAAGGCCAACAGCATCCTGGCCTGTATCAGGAACAGCGTGGTAAGACTCAGGAGGTGATTGTCCCCCTGTACTGGGCACTGGTGAGGCCCCACCTCAAGTACTGTGTCCAGTTTTGGGCCCCTTACCACAAAAAAGACATTGAGGTGTTGGAGTGGGTCCAGAGAAGGGCAATGAAGCTGGCGAGGGGTCTGGAGAATAAGTCTGATGAGGAGCGACTGAGGGAGCTGGGGTTGTTCAGTCTGAAGAAGAGGAGGCTGAGGGGAGACCTTATCGCGCTCTATAACTACCTGAAGGGGGGGTGTGGAGAGGCAGGGGTCGGTCTCATCTCCCAAGTCACAGGCAATAGGACAAGGGGAAATGGCCTCAAGTTGCACCAGGGGAGGTTCAGATTGAATATTAGGAAAAATTTTTATACTAAAAGGGTTATTAAGCATTGGAATGGGCTGCCCAGGGAAGTGGTTGAGGCATCATCCATGGAGGTGTTCAAAAGACGGGCTGACATAGTGCTTAGTGACATAGTTTAATTATGTTTTTTTTTTATCAGAGTTAGGTTGATGGTTGGACTAGATGACCTTAAAGGTCCCTTCCAACCTAGACAATTCTATGATTCTATATTTCTATGACATGTTCTCTGTATTTTTGCTGGAAATTTTGACCAAGATGAAAAAGAAGGATTTTGTCACCTGTGAAACATTTCTGGGTAAGTGGCATCTGGGCCAGTCCCCTGCCAGGAGGATGTAGTGGGTGACTGCTGACTCCAGGCCTGGCCTGAGCACAGAGTGCCCAGTGAACTCAACACGGCTGTCCACAGTCAAAGCTCCACTGGCCGATACATCCTGGACATACCAGGCTACACATGCATATGCTGCATAACCCATAAACTGATATTTCTACGTGGGAATTCCTAAACAGAAATACGGGCTTAATAATAATGTCTTAAATAGTCCTAATTTTAATGAATACTGTGACCGCAGCACAAGAATCTGGGTAGTTGCATATCTGATACAGTATACTGCAACCAGCTAAGGAAACATGATCAAATAGGGCTTTAGACAGGAGATTTTAAACCCTTTCTGTGGCCAGAGCCAAATTCCATTAGTAATTTTAGTTCATGGGCCAAGGTTTATATTTAGGACTTTATACACGCCTCAGGCAATACTTACATTGCCTGCGGCATCAAAGCATTCAGCTCTAGGACAGAACGTTGCCCCAAGTGTTTTAAAATATCATGGGCTTGTCCTTAGAATATCGTTAGGTTTCTAAAAAGACGTGATATTGCTGTGTTTGTCTTGGAAACAATACATCTGGACCCTTTTTGTTGTTTGGTAGCCTGTTATAGAAGGTGGCCTAATTCCGTTTTAAAGCTTTTCTGTCCTTCAACACTGAAGGTGTTTCTTTATTGAAGAATTTTTCCTCCCCTGTGGATGCTAAAGGAAGCACAACCTTATGAAGAAGCCTCTTTAATACTTCCAAGGCACCTGTGAAGTGATTGGAGTCAGGAGAAGCAAGACTTTGTTTTGAAGGGAATATAAGGTGAGATAGACATGGAGAGGGAGCTGTTTACCCCACGTCACGCTTATGGCACAGATAGGAATTGGGCACAAGTCTTTAAACTCCCATGTTTTGCAGCCAGACCACTGAATGCTACTTTTATGGAGTTGAGTACGTGGTGGTGGGAGCAGGGAATGTAACTGGCCCAGGACAGGTGGTTGCGTGAAAAGAGGCAAAGGCAGCAGCCCCAGCTGGAGGAAGAAACTGGTAGGAAAGAACTACTCCTTTTTTCCCCTGCTTGGACTGTGATTGAACCCTGGCAATGCTGGGATTTAATTTTCTCTGCTATTTGGGTGTGACTCGGGGGGTGTTCCACCGCAACCCAATTCCATGGCATGCCCACCCCATGGGCAACATTGGCTAGCAGTAATTAAATGCCCTGGCATCGATTCAGGCATGCTCTGGGGTAGGGACTCCTATTGGTTTGGGGACAATGTTTGAAAGCAGAGGTGTCATTTGGTCTCTGTTTCTCATAAAATCTGACACAAGCAGCTGCACCAGACTCCTGATGAGCTCTCCCAAGGAGCCAGACATTCATCAGTGGTTACATCAGCCTTTGCAGCACCAGCGAGATGGACTCTGTAAGCTGTAAGTGTTTTCATTGCTCAGTGAAGGACCAGACCATAGCCATGAGTTCTGTATGTGACCAGCTATTCCCTGTAGGGGCCATAATGTCGTGTGTACCATCTATAAAGCTTCCGTCTACTGGGTACTGTTTGATCTTGGGAGCTGGCGCAGCAGATCCTTGTTCTGGGTATTGAGAGAGGTCAATTTTACTGTTTTGCTGCAGCAGTTCCTGTTCTGGCTCGGGCTTTTTGTGCCTGGGCTGCCCTGGCTCAGGCTTTGGCTGATAGTACAGGAATGGAAAAACACAGTCACAAAGCTACAGGCCCTTTTGTGTCTACCTTGGGGTAGGGAAAAGAGATTTTTCCTGGCCCTTATTTGGGGCAGAAAAAAGCTTCTAAAATATCCAGCTGCTTAGCTATGGTTTGCACAGAGAAAAGTGACATAAATTCATGATGGCTTATCTCTATGGAACAGCTCTCGTCTCTTGCTTTTCCATCACTCCCTTTAATATGCACCTTATCAACAGTCTCTTGCCCTCACCTCTATGTCTTCTTTGTAACCAGCTGTGCCTCCCTGGTGTACTCTGCCACAGCTCTGGTCTGCCTGCTCAGTCAGTCCTTTTAAAGCCTTCCCCTACTATTTTTTTCACATCAGCCTTAAGGCTGCTCAGGAAAATGGTATCAGGAAAACTAGTTCTAACCAAAGTGATTTTCAGCCTTAATGGCCTTATTGTGCCTTGTTCTTTTCCTGACCTTTCTGCTGGAAATCGTATGTTTAGGCTGCAGTAATTAAAAATGGTGCTTTGCCATTCCAGGTGTCTATCCTTCAGGGTCCTCTTCTGCACCCTACAGATAATGACCTTGATTCAAAAATATACTGTCTGTCTCCAAATGAATGGATCTGTCTTCAGAGAAATCCATCCCAATTCTTTACCAGGACAAATGCTGGATAAATCCGAGAGAAGTACATGGGTAAGTGCTACAAATTACTGTATAAATATTTAAAGGTATATATTGCAATGGGAAGCATTTTCTCTCTAAAATGCTCCCTTAAGTGTCACTCAAACCAGCAAAAGAGGTACTTAGATCAGGAGAAGTATTCCCTGAGGAATCTGTGTTTCGTGCCTCCCCAGAAAAGCTGTAAAAATATATATTATTAAATTGTTACTAGTCATAAGATTGATAAAACAGTGTAGCTCTGGTGACATGTATAAGGTATTTACATTTATTTTTCAAAATTTACATTTTTCAGTAGAAATCTCTACATTTAATGGGATCTCTACATTTAATGGGCAAAACCATTGCCTTTTTTCTGCATATTCTGCATGTGGTAGATATGGTGCCCAGAGCTCCCATCATCATTAATATGGACTATTTAAAATATAGACATAAATAAAGACAATAGAGTAAAGAATTTTCTTAGTATTGTTGCTTGTATTTAATTCCTTATGAATTACATCGCTTGTTTATATTACTGAGATCTCCTTTTAAAAAATCTTCATAAACTCACATTGCTAAAAAAAAAGAAAAGTGACAAAACCCAAGGAAATGCTAAATATAGAAGTAAGTATGTGTATTGCTCTCTGTGTATAAAGAAATATATATTTTTTTTTATCTGAATGAAAAACTGTAGGTTTGGTTGAGCTACATGGGAGAACTGTCTGGGACTTGGGCATTAACAAAGGATTAAATCCACGCACTTTTAATAATCACTTGTAATTTAATAACTACCTGACCTGGACATGAAAATTACGGTGTGTTTGCAAATACCACGTCTAATAATAGAATGCTTACATTGGCAGATGTTACCTATTTTCTCATGCTTTTTTGGGGAGAGAATAGGTGAACTGCAGGTGCCTAAACAGCATCCCATTCAAACTGCACCTGGAAAACCCATATTTTTTTGTGCACATGGCAGTTCCTCTGCTAATTTCTTTTCAGTACAGCGAACTCGACGTCCTGCCTGAGCCTGGTGAGCAATATCGCGATATAATCCCAAACAGCTGCTGTGGTCACCCTATGGCTGTACATCAGTAGCGAGTGAAATGATTTCTATATATAGTCTGTAGATCTGCTGGCAAGGTCTGTAAAGCACACCGAGATTCTTCCTGAGGGGTAAGAGCCGCCATATGAAAGCAAGAGCATTAAGATCATCGCTGCGTACAAAGCAGTTTATCTTTTTGGTGTGGCCAAAACTGAGGCACCGAGGGAACGGGCAGTCTGCAGAGATGTGGTGAAGCCCTTGCTTTGAGCAAAAACCTGGCAGGAATAGTTTGTGCTGTCAAAGATAAGCGGGTTCATCTCGCACCGTTATTACAGAACATGGCATTGTACTGACATGAGGTGATTTAAAAGTCTTGGCTGTCTAGGAAGGAAAGAAAACTAGGAATAAGAATGATGTTTATTCATTAAAATCAGTATAATTCAGGAATGCAAAAGCGACAATAAACCGCAGCTCTGCTGCACCCTTGGCACCCAGCTCCATGCCTCGCTGTAGAATCAAATAGACCTTCAGGATCCGTGGACAAAGGACACTGGGTGCCTGTGCAATGTGGGCAGTAACTTTTCCTTCTTTAAATCAAAGGTTGAGGAATTCAGTAGTCTGGAAAAATTCTTATTTGCACCCAGATGATTATTTCCCCTGGTGCTTCCCTGCAGCCAGGTCAATCTCTTTACTCCCCTTCCAAGACACATCCTTATGGTCTACCTATCAGCAGCACTATTGGACCTATTCACTTCTTCACTATCTATGACTCTTGTGTCTTCTTGATAAGCAAGGAAACAAGAACACCCCTGCTGTCAAAATACATTAGATCAGCAGTTGCCCCATGGCTTGTTGCTATATAGTGTTGTATACAGTCTTGTGGTTATGTCCCCAGCAGCTGCTGAGAATCCTGGTTCAAAACTAATCTGAGCAATAAGGCATCGCACATGCATATGTTTTTGAGTGAAAGCTGATCACTGTTTGTGATGGGTCTGAGTTGTTAAGCTACAATCTGGACCTGGAATCTGCCCTTCTGGTAGCCCGGGTGTCTAGTAGCTGCAGGGAATCAGTGGGAAAAAATTGTCTTTGAGTTAGAATGCTGAGTCCAATTCCTGAGCAAAGATTGCTTTTTGTTCGGGGTCATCATTAAACTTACCCCACTTTTTGTTTCCCCAGCATGGATGAAGGGAAAAATCTTTCTCTCTCATGTGACTCCCTGTTTACGGCATCACCAGGAGAGATGGACTGGACAACAGACTCATCTGGCAGAGAGAAAAGCAGCTGAAAAATTGTTCCGTCAAATACCTCCAGTGCATGCTTTATCCCATTTGCTCTGCTGATACCACTGTTAAATGTAGGTGATGACACATCTTTTTCAGGGACAGCGTGCTGTGCACGGTTTTCACAAGGTACACTCGTCTCCTGGGGCAAAGAGCTACAGCTTGTCCCATCAGTCTGCCTCGTGGTCCTGTGTAGGTGCCAGGTTCCTGATCACTTGTCTCCTCAGGCCGATTTGGACTCTGCTTTTGACCTGGGCGTGTAGAAGCAGCATACAGAAATTGACACACACACACATATATATAAAAAAATAGATAAAATAACTACATGTATTATATATGTACTATTTGAGGGAACTGGGATTGTTTAGTCTGGGGAAAAAGAGGCTGAGGGGAGACCTTAGCACTCTCTACAACTACCTGAAAGGAGGTTGTAGTGAGGTGGGGCTTGGTCACTTTTCCCAAGTACCAAGTGATAAGACAAGAGGAAATGACCTCAAGTTGCACCAGGGGAGGTTTCGATTGGATATTAGGAAAAATTTCTTTACAGAAAGGGTTATCAAACACTGGAACAGGCTGTCCAGGGAAGTGGCTGAGTCACTGTCCTTGGAGGTATTTAAAAGACGTGTAGATGGGGTGCTGAGGGACGTGGTTTATTGGTGGACTGGGCAGTGTTAGGTTAAGAGTTGGACTAGATGATCTCAAGTGTCTCTTCCAACAGTTCTGACTCTGTTCTATGATTCTATATATTATTGTTACATCTATAATTACATGTAATAATTATATAAGTATTGTATGTGTTTATGTATACATATATGTATAAAATTTCTATAGGTGGGAGGGGGAAGGCAGGCAGGGAGGAGCATGGGGGCAGGAGAGGGGACATGAAAGGAGGGGAGGGCAGGGGAGGTCAGGGAAGAGGCTGGGGAGGCGGGTCAGGACAGCAAGGGGCTGTGCAGGG